CCCCCCCCCAACATACACTTACCTGAATTACAGAGTGCTTCTTCCTACAAGCTACTGCTTTGGTTTAAATTTGGCAAGGCTGTGTGTGTAACTGCCCGCACAACCGCATCATTTATTCACAGGGATCTGTGAATGGAAGACTACAACTCCTATCTTCCACTGTGGCAGAGGGATTCTTATATTTAAACGGAGCACGAGTGCATTGAAGTCACCATTGATTATGACCTCTGTATAGACCAGAGGTAAGGGGAATAGTCTGGAGGAGCGTGTGCATTGCCCCTGCATGTCTAATCACAGTTGCAATGCTCTTCAGGCTACAATGGAAAAACATAATAATTGCACATTTTCTATTTATGCAATTCATAGTTGGACTATGCCTTTAAGTAAAAAAAAACAAAAAACCCAAAACAAACAAACTAGATTCCTCATGATCTACTTTACCTTGGATGCAGCTATCTGTGTAACATCTCTATATCGAGATCCAGTTCCAGGAGAGACATTGACAATGGCTCCTCTCTGCCTCTGAACCATGCCCGGGACCACTATACGCACCATCATGACAGCTGCAGCAACATTGACATTGATGATGTCCCATAATTTATCCTCTGGAATATCCATAATACATTGGGGATATTCACACAACACCATGGCATTGTTAACCAAAATGCCCACATTCAAATCACTCAGAACCTTCTTAATGGAAAGGTATGCTTCGTGGCCCTTGCTGAGATCAGCATGAATAGGATTGGTGTTAACACCATATGTTCCAGATATGGCCTCTGAGATATTGTGTAGCTCCTCTTTGTTACTGCAGATCAGGATAATATTCAGACCACGCCTCGCCAGCTCTTCTGCATATGCCCTTCCAATGAGATCAGTGGCTTCTGTACAGAAATATACGACCAGCTTTTGTTTATCAATAACTAGGCAAAGCATGCAGAACAGTATTACATCTAGCAACCAATTAGATTCTTTCATTTTACAACTTGAAATCTATTGATACACAAACATTTGTATACACCTATACTATTTTACTCTATGCAAGGCCCCCATGTAATCTAATGTGCAGCGCATGATCACCAACCTGAAACTACATAAAGCCATCTCTCGAAGGCTGGCGTGTACAGGTACCTGCATGCTGGTTGAAAAAACCCCATTGCTACAGCACAGAAGGGGTAGACAGACGGGGTGGGGTTTATGTTGGACTCATAGTGATGGGCTCTGGCTTGTTCGCAGCTCCATGTGCCAAGCCCACCAGGAAGCTGACAGCGCCAATCACAGGCACTGAGACATATCCCGATCTCTGCAGCTGCGGACCGGGATAATGTCTCAGTACCTGTGATTGGCGCTGCGGCGCTGTCAGCTTCCTGGCGGGCTCGGCACGTGGAGCTGCCAACACGCCCGAGCCCATCACTACTCATAGGTGCTCATGTATAAAGCAGTCGCCTGTGCAGTTGGGCAAATGCCATTCGCAGGGTATTACCGCTGCTAGATAAAGCCGAGGAGCATAAGAATTTGCTCTTTGGCTCCATCTAAGCCAGGCAAACATTTTACCTTAATTCTCCTCCCAGTGACAGATGCGTCAGAGAGAAAAAGTGATCGGATTTGTCCAATAAAAGAAAGAAAAAAAAACAGATTGCTTTTCGTTGAACTGATATGCTGTATAATCATGTATGTAACAGAGATAATGGTTCACATTGATTAGTTTATCCAAGTTCAACTTTTAAAATTCCTCCATCTAGGATTATACAGTGAAATTTAGTTGTAGTTGTTATTGACCTGCCCTTGATTGGGTGATGTGTAAAAAGCATCAAAAATGTCCAATATGCTCCTTAGCAATATGTTGTTTCATGTCCTGTACCTGTATTATCTTGCAATATAACTTCCAACATCAAAACCAGTAACTCATGAGGCTCTGCCTGTCATCTTCACTTACCAGTGACAACTGCCCACTCTCCATACTGCTTGACCAGGTCTCTCCGTCTGTAGATATGTGGAGTGACATGTAGACTAACAATACTGTAACACTTGTGCAAAATGCTGATGCCTTTCCTTGCTGTGTACAGAGCTCCCACCACCGCCAGAAACTCAAAGTAGTTGAGACAACACCTTGCCACCTCTTCATATAAAAGAGGAAAGCTGTCTACAGCTGCCATTAAGACTCGACAACCTGAAAGAAGAAAGAGAAGTAGTAAAAGTCCATTTATAAAGTTTTACCACTGCCTTACCGCTGCTCATTTATAAAACGCAGCAATGTGCTTTACAGTTACGCATTGTGCTCCACTTGCTTCGGGACACCAAGGTAAAGTGCAGTAAAAACGAACGAAGAACAAGAGCCAAGGAGAGTAACCTGTCAAGGCCTCTCTTTCCAATCGCAGAGTTCTCACTGCAGCGTTACGTAGAGAGATCTCTGCGACATATTGCAAGCTCTACACTACAGCCGGAATTTTATAATTAGCTTGAGTTTACATACTAAAGCCTACAAAAAGTCAAAGATAGTGATCAGATAGAACCATCTAACTGCCTATTCCCTTGCCTGATATTTGCAACAGCACCATCATATCGCCTAAGCATGCGGAAATATCAACTGAGCCAAACTGGGGTTGTGTACTTGACTAGTGATGGGCTCGGGCGTGTTTGCAGCTCCACGTGCCGAGCCCGCCAGAAAGCTGACAGCGCCAATCACAGGCACGGAGACATTTCCCGATCTCTGTGGACTGGGATAAAGTCTCAGTACCTGTGATTGGCGCTGCCAGCTTCCTGCGGGCCCGGCACGTGGAGCTGCGAATACGCCCGAGCCCATCACTATACTTGACCAATCTGTGCTGCTTTAGTGGAAGCTGGCAGCTCTGGCAGGGGTGTCTGGATCACAAAACTGGCTGATGATAACTGGAATTCCCTTGGCAGGTACAACACTTACCTTATACTGCAGATAAGCCAAGTATTTAGCTGCTTGCCTGGAGTTCAGTTTTAATTTGAGAGTGCAAAGTGTAATAGCCTACAGCATTCAGTCAGATTTCCTACAGCAAGATGCATGAAGATCAACTCTGATTGATGGCTACTGAATTTAACCTGAGTGATTCAGAGTAGTAAAATGTTAAATACATTTAAATAAATCTGTCACTTTGAACATATAGAGCAGTGACAGGTTTTCTTACTAATGGTGACCAAGGTAGTTGCGCTAGGATATATGAAAAAATCAGGAACCAAAATACAGAAAAAATATAATATCAAAAAAATATAATATCAAAAAATGTGATCCAAAAGATTATAATCCAGCTGCAGCAATATCTATCGAGGTATTTATAATAAATATTTATTTATTGTTGCCGATTGCCAGAATTTACCTGGTTTATAATTCAACCATTTAGTATCCACATTGTATTTTCACTATATGGCACACATATGCATTATTCATTAACTTATTTAACTTAACTTATTTCGCTCATATTTAACCAATCAGTTTTATATTTATATGACACGTGTATTTATTAACGTTCATGCACATATGCACCTTTGGATTGCATTTAGTTGCAAGTAGGATTTGATCACTTGTATTGGTTTCGTTTGTGGTATAAATATAGCACGTATCACAATACCAAGCGCAGCACACTGGTTCACAATATTACCTTAATTCTCCTCCCAGTGACAGATGCGTCAGAGAGAAAAAGTGATCGGATTTGTCCAATAAAAGAAAGAAAAAAAAACAGATTGCTTTTCGTTGAACTGATATGCTGTATAATCATGTATGTAACAGAGATAATGGTTCACATTGATTAGTTTATCCAAGTTCAACTTTTAAAATTCCTCCATCTAGGATTATACAGTGAAATTTAGTTGTAGTTGTTATTGACCTGCCCTTGATTGGGTGATGTGTAAAAAGCATCAAAAATGTCCAATATGCTCCTTAGCAATATGTTGTTTCATGTCCTGTACCTGTATTATCTTGCAATATAACTTCCAACATCAAAACCAGTAACTCATGAGGCTCTGCCTGTCATCTTCACTTACCAGTGACAACTGCCCACTCTCCATACTGCTTGACCAGGTCTCTCCGTCTGTAGATATGTGGAGTGACATGTAGACTAACAATACTGTAACACTTGTGCAAAATGCTGATGCCTTTCCTTGCTGTGTACAGAGCTCCCACCACCGCCAGAAACTCAAAGTAGTTGAGACAACACCTTGCCACCTCTTCATATAAAAGAGGAAAGCTGTCTACAGCTGCCATTAAGACTCGACAACCTGAAAGAAGAAAGAGAAGTAGTAAAAGTCCATTTATAAAGTTTTACCACTGCCTTACCGCTGCTCATTTATAAAACGCAGCAATGTGCTTTACAGTTACGCATTGTGCTCCACTTGCTTCGGGACACCAAGGTAAAGTGCAGTAAAAACGAACGAAGAACAAGAGCCAAGGAGAGTAACCTGTCAAGGCCTCTCTTTCCAATCGCAGAGTTCTCACTGCAGCGTTACGTAGAGAGATCTCTGCGACATATTGCAAGCTCTACACTACAGCCGGAATTTTATAATTAGCTTGAGTTTACATACTAAAGCCTACAAAAAGTCAAAGATAGTGATCAGATAGAACCATCTAACTGCCTATTCCCTTGCCTGATATTTGCAACAGCACCATCATATCGCCTAAGCATGCGGAAATATCAACTGAGCCAAACTGGGGTTGTGTACTTGACTAGTGATGGGCTCGGGCGTGTTTGCAGCTCCACGTGCCGAGCCCGCCAGAAAGCTGACAGCGCCAATCACAGGCACGGAGACATTTCCCGATCTCTGTGGACTGGGATAAAGTCTCAGTACCTGTGATTGGCGCTGCCAGCTTCCTGCGGGCCCGGCACGTGGAGCTGCGAATACGCCCGAGCCCATCACTATACTTGACCAATCTGTGCTGCTTTAGTGGAAGCTGGCAGCTCTGGCAGGGGTGTCTGGATCACAAAACTGGCTGATGATAACTGGAATTCCCTTGGCAGGTACAACACTTACCTTATACTGCAGATAAGCCAAGTATTTAGCTGCTTGCCTGGAGTTCAGTTTTAATTTGAGAGTGCAAAGTGTAATAGCCTACAGCATTCAGTCAGATTTCCTACAGCAAGATGCATGAAGATCAACTCTGATTGATGGCTACTGAATTTAACCTGAGTGATTCAGAGTAGTAAAATGTTAAATACATTTAAATAAATATGTCACTTTGAACATATAGAGCAGTGACAGGTTTTCTTACTAATGGTGACCAAGGTAGGTGCGCTAGGATATATGAAAAAATCAGGAACCAAAATACAGAAAAAATATAATATCAAAAAAATATAATATCAAAAAATGTGATCCAAAAGATTATAATCCAGCTGCAGCAATATCTATCGAGGTATTTATAATAAATATTTATTTATTGTTGCCGATTGCCAGAATTTACCTGGTTTATAATTCAACCATTTAGTATCCACATTGTATTTTCACTATATGGCACACATATGCATTATTCATTAACTTATTTAACTTAACTTATTTCGCTCATATTTAACCAATCAGTTTTATATTTATATGACACGTGTATTTATTAACGTTCATGCACATATGCACCTTTGGATTGCATTTAGTTGCAAGTAGGATTTGATCACTT